TCTGTCTTTGCCAACCCAATAGTTGGATTCAGAGTAGCAGCCGTGTTAGTCTGTATCCGCAAAAAAACCAGGAGTACTTGTGGCACCTTAGAGACTAACAAATTTATTTGAGCATAAGCTTTCGTGGGCTACATCCCACTTCTTCGGATGCATAGAATGGAACATATATTGAGGAGATATATATACACACACATACAGAGAGCATGAACAGGTGGGAGTTGTCTTACCAACTCTGAGAGGCCAATTAAGTAAGAGAAGAAAAACTTTTGAAGTGATAATCAAGATAGCCCAGTACAGACAGGTTGATAAGATGTGTGAGAGTATTTACATGGGGAGATAGATTCAATGTTTGTAATGGCTCAGCCATTCCCAGTCTTTATTCAAACCTAAATTGATTGTGTCTAATTTGCATATCAATTTGAGTTCAGCAGTTTCTCGTTGGAGTCTGTTTTTGAAGTTTTTCTGTTGTAAAATAGCCACCCGCAGGTCTGTCATTGAATGACCAGACAGGTTAAAGTGTTCTCCCACTGGCTTTTGAGTATTATGATTCCTGATGTCAGATTTGTGTCCATTAATTCTTTTGCGTAGAGACTGTCTGGTTTGGCCAATGTACATGGCAGAGGGGCATTGCTGGCACATGATGGCATATATCACATTGGTAGATGTGCAGGTGAACGAGCCCCTGATGGTATGGCTGATGTGATGTGATTAGGTCCTATGATGATGTCACTTAAATAGATATGCGGACAGAGTTGGCATCGGGCTTTGTTGCATGGATAGGTTCCTGGGTCAGTGTTTTTATTCAGTGATGTGTGGTTGCTGGTGAGTATTTGCTTCAGGTTGGGGGGTTGTCTGTAAGCGAGGACAGGTCTGTCTCCAAAGATCTGTGAGAGTGAGGGAATCATCTTTCAGGATAGGTTGTAGATCTTTGATGATGCGCTGGAGAGGTTTTAGTTGGGGGCTGAAGGTGACAGCTAGTGGTATTCTGTTATTTTCTTTGTTGAGCCTGTCTTGTAGGAGGTGACTTCTGGGTACTCGTCTGTCTCTGTCAATCTGTTTTTTCACTTTAGCAGGTGGGTATTGTAGTTTTAAGAATGCTTGATAGAGATCTTGTAGGTGCTTGTCTCCGTCTGAGGGATTGGAGCAAATGCAGTTGTATCTTAGAGCTTGGCTGTAGACAATGGATCTTGTGGTGTGTCCTGGATGGAAGCTAGAGGCATGTAGGTAAGTATAGCGGTCAGTAGGTTTCCGGTATAGGGTGGTATTTATGTGACCATCGCTTATTAGCACAGTAGTGTCCAGGAAATGGACCGCTTGTGTGGATTGATCTAGGCTGAGGTTAATGGTGGGATGGAAATTATTGAAATCATGGTAGAATTCCTCAAGGGCTTCTTTTCCATGGGTCCAGATGATGAAGATGTCATCAATGTAGCGCAAGTAGAGTAGGGGCGTTAGGGGACGAGAGCTAAGGAAGCGTTGTTCTAAGTCAGCCATAAAAGTGTTGGCATACTGTGGGGCCATGCGGGTACCCATAGCAGTGCCGCTGACTTGAAGGTATATATTGTCCCCAAATGTGAAATAGTTGTGGGTGAGGACAAAGTTCAGCCACCAGGTTAGCTGTGACATTATCAGGGATACTGTTCCTGATAGCTTGTAGTCCATCTTTGTGTGGAATATTGGTGTAGAGGGCTTCTACATCCATAGTGGCCAGGATGGTGTTTTCTGGAAGATCACCGATGGACTGTAGTTTCCTCAGGAAATCAGTGGTGTCTCGAAGATAGCTGGGAATGCTGGTAGCGTAGGGCCTGAGGAGAGAGTCCACATAGCCAGACAATCCTGCTGTCAGGGTGCCAATGGCTGAGATGATGGGGCGTCCAGGATTTCCAGGTTTATGGATCTTGGGTAGCAAATAGAATACCCCTGGTCGGGGTTCTAGGCATGTGTCTGTACAGATTTGTTCCTGTGCTTTGTCAAGGAGTTTTTTTAGCAGATGATGTAGTTTCTTTAGGTACTTGACAGGCTATACCTTCAAGTATGACAACCAGTCCCGGCTTGGGACCTTAACCTTGTTCTTTTCAGACTAATGGGGCCCCCCTTTGAACCACTCACAACATGCTCTTTGCTCTTATGTATCCTTGAAGGTAGTGTTTCTGTTGGCAATAACATCTACCAGGAGGGTATCCAAGCTTAAGGCCCTGATCTGACCTCTGACATCTGACCTCCTTACACAGTCTTCTATAAGGACAAGGTTCAACTTTCGCTGCAACCAGCCTTCCTCCCGAAGGTCATCTCCCAGTTTCATGTTAATCAGAACATTTTTCTTCCAGTTTTTTACCCTAAGCCACACTCAAACAGCCAGGAACAGAAACTTCACTCTTTGGATGTTCGCCGGGCGTTTGCTTTCTATATCGAACAAAGCCATTTTGGAAATCTACCTAACTATTCGTCGCAGTAGCAGACAGAATGAAGGGGCTCCCAGTCTCTTCTCAAAGAATTTTGTCATGGATTACATCATGTATCCTGACATGCTACAATCTGGCAAAAATACCTGCCCCCGCACTGACAGTGCACTCCACGAGGGGTAAACAGTGAGGTGGCAAAATTTGCAGATGATACAAAACTACTCAAGATAGTTAAGTCCCAGGAAGACTGCGAAGAGCTACAAAAAGATCTCACAAAACTGGGTGACTGGGCTACAAAATGGCAGATGAAATTCAATGTTGATAAATGCAAAGTAATGCACATGGGAAAACCTAATTCTAACTATACACACAAAAATAATGGGGTCTAAATTAGCTGTTACCACCCAAGAAAGAGATCTTGGAGTAATTATTGATAGTTGATAGTTCTCTGAAAACATCCACTCAGTGTGCAGTGGCCATCAAAAAAGCTAACAATGTTGGCAGTCATTAAGAAAGGGATAGCTAATAAGACAGAAAATATTATATTGCCTCTATATAAATCCATGGTACACCAACATCTTGAATACTGTATGCAGATGTGGACTCCCCATCTCAAAAAAGATATATTGGAATTGGAAAAGGTTCAGAAAGGGGCAATAAAAATGGTTAGGGGTATGGAACGGCTTCCGTACGAGGAGAGATTGACTTGGACTTTTGAGCTTGGAAAAGAGACAACTAAGGGGGGATATGATAGAGGTCTATAAAATCATGACTGGTGTGGAGAAAGTAAAAACGAAGTGTTATTTACGCCTTCTCATAACACAAGAACTAGGGGTCACTAAATGAAATTAATAGGCAGTAGGCTTAAAACAAAAGGAAGTATTTTTTTCACACAATGCACAGTCAACCTGTGGAACAACTTGCCAGAAGATTTTGTGAAGGCCAAGGGTTCAAAAAAGAACTAGATAAATTCATGGAGGATAGGCCCATCAATGGCTATTAGCCAGGATGGGCGGGGATGGTGTGAATGGGAAGTTCGGAATGGACGACACGGAATGGATCACTTGATTACCTGTTCTGTTCATTCCCTCTGGGGCACCTGGCATTGGCCACTGTTGGAAGACAGGATTCTGGGCTAGATGGACCTTTGGTCTGACCCAGTATAGCTGTTCTTATGTTTCAAAGAGCAGGCAGTGTTTGTCAAATTGGGAATCCATAATTAGAAGATATTTTGGCAAATGTTGGCTGAAATTTGTAAAGTGCTGTAGGATCCTTCAGGATGAAAGGCGATTAACTGTATTATTCAAGCTTATTGTCTTTTGCAAACTGAGCCTTAAAATGTAATTTGCATTCTCTTCCCCTAAATTGGATGTAGAGAGAACCTCTCTGCCAAGAATCTCCTATATAATACAATAGCTTCACTGTGAACTTCAGTCCTTTGACTCCTAGACTTTTGGCTTACCAATGGTTAAATAATAGTATTTGTTCTATGAGATAATTTGCATAGTATTAAATTTGTTACTGGCTTTTTGTGCAGTAAAAACAGCACAGCGGTACCATTGGTATTTTCCCCAGGCATATCAAAGTACAGTGTGTAACAGTGTCACTGGAAATATAATTACCTGGAAGATTTATTGTGGAACTGTGTGAAAGATTGCTCAGAAACACCAGAGGCAACTTGCCTGTTGTAACCTTTCTGTGCAACAAACGTACTTTCAGATGACCATGTACACACCTTCTGGGTAGCTCAAAATGGCCCAATGAGTCAAACTGCTTGGTGTTTGATTTCCTGTCCCAGCCTCTTGTTTCCCAGACTATCAGGAGCTACACGTGCTGAGGGGCTATAGAATATTCTCCCTATACATGGAAAAGACATTGCATTACAGGCGCCCTCCAGGTTACGCAAACCCGACTTACGCAAATACACACTTATGGAAAAAGTTCCGTAAGCTAGAAATAGTGTTGTGGGGTTGGGTTTTTTTTGTTTTTTTTGTTTTTTTCCATTATGGTCGGGTATACGTTTCCGACTTACACAAAATTCGAGTCACGCAAGGCGTTACAGAACGGAACGCTTGCGTAAGTCGGGGAGCGTCTGTATACAATAACAAACCCTCCAGCTGAAATTTAAGGCAATGTTGATGAGATTTGAAAGGAGTCCTATACAATTCTCTTTGGGAAGGCTGATGGCCATAATATGGGCTCTCAGTGTCTGGAAGAGTGTAAAGTGGGTGTTAAGGGATTAGGAATAAACTTTCTCCACAACACCCCTGAATGCATATTGTTACATAATTATCCATTATGTGGGATTACACCTTCCCCTCAAGCACTCAGTGTCAGAAACAAGATACCAAGCGAGATGGACCACTAGCCTGATCTAGTATGGCAATTTCTATTTATTTTATTTTATGTGTGAGTACTCTAACAAAGTTTCAGAAGGCCTGGCTGGAATTGGCGTGAGAGGGGAGGGGCGACGGGGTGCGAGACAAAGGATTGACATTTCAGAAGAGAGGGATAAAAGGGAAAATATAAAGAGCAATTGTAAATGTTTTGCCTGCCGTCAGATTTTGCTAACGGCTTTAAGTCTGTTCCTCATTCCAGAGAGCTACATGTCCAAGAACTCTGAAGATGATGAACCAGCAAAGGAATCAAAGCAGTCTATTCGAAAACGTAGCCGAAGTACAGACGAATACTCAGAAGAAGAAGAAGAGGATGGGGACGAACCAGAGGAGGGGAGACCTGTCCGCAAACGGCTGAATCGAATTGAAACAGATGATGAAGATAACTGCGACAATGCGAACAAAGATGCAGAAAAGCCTGCACCTGCAAATAAGCCGTCAGCACCTCATGCTCCTCATGACAGCACCAAGAAGCCCTGCTACCGGATAGAAAGTGATGATGAAGATGACTTTGATAATGTAGGGAAAGTAGAAAGCCCGTTGGACTACAGCCTAGTGGACTTGCCTTCCACCAATGGACAGAGCCCAGGTAAAACTATTGAAACCTTGATTGGCAAACCAAGTGAGAAGACTCAAGCCCCCAAGGACAGCACAGCCAATGCCAACCTGGCACCCAATGGGACGGGGGGTGGGCAGGAGGTGGTAGGGCCAGAGGAAGAGGAGGATGAACTTTTGAGAGTGACTGACCTTGTTGATTACGTCTGTAACAGTGAACAGTTATAAGACTTTCTTCCATTTTTGTGCTAATTTATTCCACGGTAGCGCATACCAGCGGGCCAGTTATTAAAAGCTGTTTTATTTTTCCTAGAAGACTGTCCACTACAGTATCACTTTTTAGAAGCAAGAATTTCACCAGTTCTGCAGTCTTTCTGTGAAGTGACCAGTTTTGAACTTTGAAGATAAATTGCTGTAAATTCCCTCTTAATTTTTTTCTCTCCTTCCAAGTCCATGGTCCTGGGTAATTTCATTCACAAAAACCTTATAACAACAAGAGATTTGTATATTTTTGACTTTATATTTCCTGAAAGCATACAAATTTGTTGAAATGTGTGGCCTATGAAAGCATTCCAAATCAGTCAGGGCCCAAAACGTAACTGGGGCAGGGGGCAGTGGGAGGCGGGAATGGGGGCGTGTGTGCAGAAGCACTTGTGCTTTAGCTTTTTCATATGAGATATATATTATATTTAAATGTTCACAACTTAGATGACAATTTAACAGACAGTTTAAAAATTAATGTCTCTACTGTTGCATTTTGTGAGTTGTAGGTTAACATACATAGCTCATTTTAGTAACCACCTTCATGAAAGCAGCTTGATTTAAGATTGGAGATAACCACAGTAAATAAAGAGGCCAAGAAAGTACAATAAACAAGAACTCTAGTATCCATTTTGACTTGCAGATTTTCCTGATAAACATCCTTTAAAGTGTTTGTACAGTAAAGTGTACTGTAATGAAGTTTTGACGGTCGAAACATGCTAGCAATGAATTTATAAAACAGTTTTTCCATGCATATTTCATCAGATGGCCTTTAATGTACAGTATCTGGTGGGAGGGAATCTGTGTGAAGTTAGTTTGTAAATGGGATGATACCATGTGAGTGCTGTAAACTTTTACAGATGCCAGAACCACTGTATAAAGTAACTGCCTCGCCATTTGAGTTTTAAACCATCTATCAGAGTATTTTGAAAGGAATACGTTTGTACATACTGCATTGACCACCGGATTACAGCACATCTGATGATGGAGGGATTTTCAAATAAACCTTGACTGGTCCATTCATGCCCCTAATATCTACTTCAAATTGAAGTAAACAAATGGAGCAGTTTTCCTTTTGGAGGTTTTCTGTTTTGGATTTGTGTGTTTGTTTTGATTTACTTATCTGCCTGGATGTACTAGCAGGTTTTGAATGTAGTGTTGGCCTTTGGCCATTAGAATTTTCTTAAAATACATTTTAATAGTTGTCATGTGACCAACTGATTTCAAGAAGGCAGTATTTCTGGGAGAAAATGCTTGACTCCAAGACAATATCTCATCACTTTGAGTGGCATGTACTTTAGCTCAAGTATACAGATTTTTTTTTAACAGTTTATTTGGCACATAATAGACAGCGAAGCTGAAGTTTGTTTTGGATAGCACTCAGTTTTCTCTTGGCTCTTAATTAAGATGCAGGCTGTAAAGTTTATACATGTTGTAGCCCACAGCTAAAACATAGCTGCCAAATGTTGAAATCTGATAAGGTCACATCTATTAAACCTTTTGCGCTGAGATTTGGATCCCCCCCCCCCCGGTGTTATGTCCATTGCCGGCAATGGATGCACTAAATTTGCTGCTGGCACCAAGGAGTGAATTCTCCTTTCTACTGCCACCCCCACCTCCTCAATGTCGTATTGACTAGTCAGTCAGTAGTTAAGCACTTCTATTTCATTGTAATAAAGCTGGCATTAGGCCTTTACTAAATACCTCTCTAGAAAACCTAGATCCAAAAATACCTACCTTCTAGCCTTGAAAGTCCTTGTTTTTGTTTTTCCCCTCTGTCCATGTTACTTCTGTAGAACCGACTGCATTAATGTTATTTCATTGGGATTCTAGCAGTTCATATATCCTCATGTATAAAACTAAAACCATCAAAGATGCAAAAGGTTAGGACCCACTCATCGTTTGCTATGGTAAGCAAGGTTTGTGACTTGAGAAAATGAGAATTCACTTTTTCTTTCCAAATAAGCTTATTCCATTTGAATTTTTAAACAAATAATTATTTCCACCGTGTCAATTGATAGTTAACCGGTTTCATTAACAGATGTTTAAACAGGGTAGTGCGAAAAGCCACAGAAGTTTAGAAAGTGTCTTAAAAGCATATGTAGCATTTTAAGCTACTATTCAGTATATGCTGCTGCTTTTTTTTTTTTTGCTTAGGTGATGCAACAATGTAGTGCTGCTACATTTCTAATACACTTGTGTTTAAAATGATCAATGACATGTGGCTCCCATTTTTCAATGTTAGTAACTGTGCATTTTTAGTATTTGCAGTGCAAACTGTCTGATTCACATATGCAATACTCTGCGCAGCCAAGACTTCTGTTGTGTTTAGGCAGTGCCATAACCCTTTTGTTCTCTGACTTAGCCTTTTAGTATCTGATCAGTGCTGTAGCAAACATTCTTGCTGTAGTATTAACTCTAAATTATAGACATATAGTGGGCAACTCATTTCAATGTAAGAAAAATACAAAAGAGTTGGAAGTATTGGATACACCAACCAGAGAAAAAAATCAAATATTGTGTCTTCATTGTGGGAATGATGTAAAAGCAGACAATATCATAAAGTTCAGCCAGAACACTGGAACAGAGGATCCAGTCATTTTTCAGGTACTGTCAGTTCCATAAATATATACATGATTTTGATGCTGTTATGGAGCTTTACTTCCTGTATGTCAGTTTTGTAGATTGACCTTCTATTTGATTAAGAAAAAGTTCTCCCTGATGTTAATGTGATCCCAAAGAGTCCAAGCCTAAAACCCTTACACAGGCAAAGCTCCCTTTTATATCAATGGGAATCCTATCTGAGTAAAGACTGCAACATTTGGCTCAAAGAGAGGGCTTACATTTTCAGCCCCCTCCCAATCCCCGGTTTTGAAGATTTTCTGCTTGATGGAAAATGTATAGTATCTTATTTGGGAAATGGCACTTCCTGATAAGAGCACAAGTGACCCCTAGTCAGATGGTAAGAATATTTTCATTAGTTCACACTATGGAAATGTCTTCCAGTTGATTTGGTGTCATTCGCAGATTGTGTTCTACTGTAATCTTGGTAAGGAATGAAGTGCAATGTTTTTGGATTATGTTAATGTCCACAGTGAATACTAATCTTCAGCTGTTGCTTAAGTTAATAAGCAAAAGATCAAATCATTTTAGAAACACAATGGAGACTTGCCTTGGGTTATTTAATGGAATAGTTCCAACTGGAAAAGAATAAGCAGATATCAATCTTATATGTAAGGATTTGATTGCACAAACAGCTATCCATCAGGTTGTGACTAAAAGTTGCTATGTTGCAGATTTTTAAATTGAACATTGTTTAGTGCAGAACTGACTGGGAAAAAAGTTAATTAAGTGCAGTTTAGGTTTTAAGTAGCATTGGAGAGGGGAGGAACCTACAAATTGAGAGAATTAAAGGAGGGATGGAACTTTCTAATCCATTTCACAAAGAGAAGAGTGATATTTGCTGGCTTGAAAACCACTTGTATGAGCATTGGTGTCAAAAATGTACAGTAAATTCATTTCACGCTAGATGGATGTGATGGATTACATTAACAAAACCCGTAATATAGTAAGAACTTCACCATGGCTATTTTTGTCATCTTTGATTCTTCTAAATGAGTGTATTCCTGGTTTTAAAAAACAAATGTAGACACGGTGTATGTCTCTTTGTTTAATTATGAGTACAGGAAGATCAATACTAAACAATGAACTCTTTGAGTATTTGATAGTTGATTCAGAGTTGTGCACATTAAATTACGTGAACACATTAACACAACTTTTCTTTATCTAATGGCTTTTGCGTTTTAACTGCACTTGAGAAGAACAGTGATGCTTTTTTCTATATTTTATGTTTATAAGGTATGTCACCGTCTTTAAAACTATCCTTTTGGATTAAGGTGCCTCAGTTGCTCTTCTGCTAATGGAGGTTGGACTGTATTCCGTTTGCTTCTGTTTTGTCTTCCCTGTGTCTGAACTCCTCCTGAGAGACTGACTTATTCAGAGAACCTCAAGGCAACATGTATGTTCATAAAAGAAAAAACCTTTGCGTGGCAATCCATTTGTTCTAATTTATCTTAGTAACTTTATCATTTGAACTATGTGACTATTCAAATGCTGTAGTAGTTGAATAATTCTAATAGTACACTGTCAGGGTGTCCATTACCAAACCTCTGTTTTCAGGCATTTCTAATTTGGCATTGAAAGCTCTTCAGCATGAAGGCTTGGCCCAACAGTCATTTTTTTAAAACTTGCTTCCAATCACATACTTTCACAAACTAGCTTTCTTAAAACAAAACAAGATAAAGGCACCTGTGTTTTTAAAATCTCTTCTGTATACAGTAATTAAATAATATTTCGTAGTCGTGCTAGTCCAAAAATGATCTGATCAAGATATTTGTGTCAACTGGCTCAAAATGGCAAAAAGTGATTGTGGCACATGTGCAGTGACTACTGTTCACAGGTTTGTATTATAGATTTTAATACACAGGATGCATCCTATGTGCGTATTTATGTAAGAAGAACACTTCCAGTCCATTGGGTAAATAAAACCTTTAAAAAATTGTATATAAATAAATATTAAATCCTTCAAACAAAAACAAATCTCTACTGGAAAAAAAATATACTGAATGGAGGGGGGAAGAAAGAAAGCAATTCATGTTAAGTAGTCCTGATCTGCAAGTGCTTACACACAAGTGCGTCTATGGAAGTCATTAAGACTGTTTTTAGGAATACAGGTTTGCAGGATTAGGACTAGAATTCTTGACGCAATCTAGGAAATCCTGGCTGCCAATCTTAGCTTTTGTGTTTCACCCCTCACCTGAGTTAGGGGATGGAATGTTGCTTTTAACTGTTTTGGAAGTCAGGAAATATGAAGTGAGCAGAGAGAGCCCTTAATTTTAGTTGAACTAATGTTTGCAATATGTATTGACCTAAATTTTCAAAAATGACTAATGATTTTTGGATGCCTCCATTTTTGGGTGTCCAGTCGGAGACATGTTAAAGATGCCTGACTTTTCAGAAACTGCAGAACACTCGCTCACTGAAAATAAGGCCACTTTGAGGTGTCTCCCATTGGACAACCAAAAATTGAGACACTGAAAATCATTAGTCCCTTTTTGAAAGTCACTTACTAAGCTCTTATTATAGCATCAGTATAACTGCCTGTTTGAATGACAGAACTCCAAACAGCAAAAAACAAGGTTGTATGGGAATTGAAATACCGTATATACTCGTTCATAAACCGAATATTTTTGGTTAAAAAGTGACGCATCAAAGAGCGGGGGTTGGCTTATAAACGGGTCTACACCGAAATTTGATGGATTTTAAACTCTATGGAATCATTGAATTGAATATCTAATACAGGGATTGGCAACCTTTGGCCCCCGGCTCGCCAGGGTGCTTACCCTGGCGAGCCGGGCTGGTTTGTCCACCAGTGGGAGCCGCGATCGGCCGAACCCGTGGATGCGGCAGGTAAACAAATCGGCCGCGGACCAAAGGTTGCCGATCCCTGATCTAATACATTGTAGTTTTGTTTACCTGGAGCGTCTGCAGGCATGGAGCCCCTCAGCTCTCTGTGGCCGCAGTTCGCTGAGGGGCTCCATGCCTGCAGATGCTCCAGGTAAACAAAACGTCCCGACCTGCCAGCGGCTTACCCTGACGGGCCGGGAGCCAAAGTTTTCCAACCCCTGAAATATAGGGTCGGCTTATGAAAGGGTCATACAGTTTTTGCTATTTTTACCTATCCATTTTGGGGGGTCAGCTTATAAACGAATGGGCTAATGAACGAGTATATACGGTAATTGCCCAAAGCTTCAGAGTAATTTAACTTATTTGTACATTCCAAAAAATGTATATTGCTTAGAACAACACTTAAATTATGTACAGTTTCTGAAGGAAAGAGTAGAACATTCTAAAGTAGGTAATAGATCGTTACAATTGAGAATGTAGTATTAAAGGCTCCAGACACAATTACAACTATAAAAAATCTGACAACCTGGGTTTTTAGGTATCACTCTGTAATTGCTTGCACCCAGTACCTGTTCTCATGAGCGGTAGAGACAAGGGAAATGCAGGCAGAGGGGACGCATTGCTTAATAATGGTACTTGTGGCTGTAAATATCTCTGATTGCTACAAATAACCCCAAAGGTTACCAACTAGAGCTGAGAGATCAGAGGGGGAAAATGTTGCTCTATTTTTTCCAGTTTGTTTACTGTGTGCACTGGATAGCACTTTGTGTATAGTCAGCCTCACTGTTTCCCAGGGCTAGTAAGAAATTGTTTCCCCCTGTCGTTTTGAGTGGATCTTTCAAATGGCAGTACGGGACAGGAAGAAAAAATAGCAAAATGTGATTGCAAACTCACAACCATTTGCAGAAGGGGATTCAGACAGGCATAGTGTTGAAACAACTTGTAATTCACTCTTAAAAACTGACAATTTCAAATTGACGGTGCCCTTTAACCCTCTTGACCTCATTCCTATCCCCAGAGCTGCATAA